CTTTGGCATTTCCATCAGCTCTGAAGACAAAGCTCCATATATTATAGCAAATCAAATCAAATCCAATCAAATTTTATTTGTATAGCGCCAAATCACAACAAAAGTTATCTCAGGACACATTACAAAGTAAGGTCTAGATCTTACTGTTATCAATATTATTACATAGGGAAAACCCAACAAATCCCCCTTGATCAAGCACTTGGCGACAGTGGGGAGGAAAAACTCCCTTTAACGGAAGAAACCTCCGACAGACCCCGGTTCTTGGTGGGCGGCCTTCTGCCTCGACAGGTTGGGGTGAGTGGATAGAGGAGAGACAAAAGAAGAAAAGCAACAAGACACAACAAACAAACACTGATCAGGTTGATGTGGCTGGTGACTGCTCGTCAGAGACATAGAGCTCCAGGGCCAGGGCAACCTGGAGAAAGGTACAAGGAGAGAGAGAGAGGACACACTACGGGAGGAGAGAGGAGACACAAAGTTAGTAATGTGTAATGGTGGCATATAGAAGCATAGGGAGAGAGAGGAGAGGAAAGGATAGGAGAGGAGAGGAGAGGAGCTTGATAGCTAAAGGCTCTGCCTCCCATTCTGCTTCTGTGGACTCTAGGAACCACAAGTAAACCTGCACTGTGAGAGCGAAGTGCTCTGTTAGGATGATAAGGCTCTACGAGGTCTTTAAGATACGATGGAGCCTTGTCATTAAGGGCTTTGTATGTTAGGAGAAGGATTTTAAATTCTGTTCTGAATTTTACAGGGAGCCAGTGGAGAGAAGCTAATATGGGAGAGATATGATCTCTCTTGCTCGTTCCTGTCAGTCCTCTGGCTGCAGCATTTTGGATTAACTGGAGGCTTTTTAGGGAATTATTGGGATATACTTATAGTAAAGAGTTACAGTAGTCCAGCCTGGAAGTGACAAATGCATTGACCAGTTTTTCATCATCACTTTGAGACAGGATGCTCCTGATTTTTGCAATATTGCGCAGGTGGAAGAAGGCAGATCTAGAGACTTGGTTTATGTGTGATTTAAAGGACATATTCTGATCAAAGATGACTCCAAGGTTCCTCACAGTAGTACTGGAGGCAAGAGCTATGTCATCTAAAGTAACTATATGATTAGACAGCAGATTTCTAAGGTTTTCAGGCCCAAGCACAATAACTTCGGTTTTGTCAGAGTTTAGAAGTAAGAAGTTGCAGGTCATCCAGGCCTTTGTTTTTAAGACATGCTTGAAGTTTGACCAGCTGACCTGATTCATTTGACTTCATAGATAAAATTGATTGATAAAAATGATTACAGAAGGGGAACAAAGACTAGTAATTTCTGTACAAATCCAGGTTATTAGGTTAATCTATCAGCAACGCACTTCTAGACTTTTAACCCTGACTTGTAATAGATGTCTGCATGTACAGTGTTTTACCACTGTCTTTATAAAACCTGTGTACAACCATCAACGCTGCAGGGAATGAGTATATACACATCACAACTACACTGTGTCCTTTAAGCCGCAGCCAATAAAACAAACGCTGACTCAGAATGGGGACTCCACTGCACAGACAGGATGTCACCCCAACCTGCCTGTGGGTATCAAATATTCAGTGTTTGGTCAGGGATTATGGGCTTTGAACATGCTGTCCTCATGGGACAGGTGGAACATGACCTGACAATAGCCACAACGAAACCAAAGAGAAGGAAACAAAGACGGGCCCTTGAGTCATCGGGCAGGCCTCCATATGTGCTCAGTAGGACACGCTCAAAAGTCACAGAGTGCTTTTTTTTCACAGCACTGCCTTATGAAAGGGTACTTCCACATGTTAACTCCCAAGCAGTACATAAACAGACTTTTCCTTGCAGTAGAATAGTTTTTGTTCGGTCAACTTCAGAAGGATGTGTAATTGTCAGATTAGCTGCTGTAGTAGCTTGTTACACCACTAGATGCCTGTTTGATGAGATATAGTTGCATGTGTTTCCTGAGCGCCCGTAACAGCCGCACAAAGCATAAAACTGAGGTACCTTCTTGCCATCCAAGGAAAGAAAAGTCACATGGCTTGCTGTGCTCACTGTGGCCCCTGCAGCACAAAGCTGTTTTCTGAGGCTCACGCTAACAACACACTACCATTGTCTAACAGAAGCAGTGAGCAGGCTGGGAGCCGAGTTCACCGCTGTAGCTGCTGACGACTATCAGCTTAAGTAAACTGTTTAAAAGTTACAACCATAATTCAAATCAATAATTCAACAAATATTCCACAAATTATTCTAAGTAGTAGATGTAGAGATTCTTCTCTAAAGTAATTTCTCAGACAGATTTTTCTCTTGGTTTTTGGGGCTGCACGGCCTCCAGACATCTGCCAGCTGACAGCTAAAGACACAAGAAAGAAGCGAACTGTGACGATGTGGAGAAAGATTTCAAAATGTATCTGGAGCAAACGGCAGATTCGGTGTATGCTGCACTGCAAACCAGAAAAACAGATGTTTAAAGCTCAGTGCACAGCCAAGGGCACCGGCTACGTAACGAACAGACATTGAACATGTGCCACTTCAAAGTAAGCAGCATAAATCACCCAGCTTTAGGATGTCTAAATGATCCTGATGGATACTCTGGGGAACTGGTTGCACTCCCTGCTCATCTGTCATAAAATGTTGGAAGAGATGAAGATGATGTCCCTTGATTTCCAGGACTTGCTGACACTGTGGTTTGGGCCTGTGCATCAGTGAATTGTTTCCCCTCCTACTCCATCTACAGCTGGAGAACTCCAGGCCTACTGGACAATAAGGATGACATGAATACAAATGGCCACCTTGTGTTTCCAGTGCAACTCGCATACTGTTTAAGTCTAATTGTGTTTAATTATTAATAAATGATTTCCTTTGTTCACTGAAGACATAACTGTCTTTGGTTTAAAACTTCCTGTCACTACATACAAGGATAATGATGCCAAATTTGGCCCTTACTGTACATCTTGTTCTTATGGAAACAAACTCATCAAGCACCTTTACACTTATGTGTTTGTGCTGGCCTTGGTAACTAAATGATCACTGAAACAATGACACCGTTCTAGGACAATGAACTTCTTAATTGATCTGTCATTCTTGTTCCCTGGTTGCATTGATCAAACTCCATTTATATGAATTTGCACCACAGACTGCATAAAATATGTTTATATGCTATGTCTATGGAAAAAAAGTATAAGCTCAAAATTGTCTAATGACTGACTGATGGTGCGTTTTATAACTTATCACACAATATCTGATTTTAGAAACCAACCTGACATAAGGATCAGAGCTTTTCATAGCATCTTATAGGCTACACAAGTGCTGGCTTCAAAGTAAGACTTTCACAAACACAACTGTCTAAATAAATACACTGCATTATTAAAAAAAGTTCCACCAGGCTGAATATTTGTACTGTATATACCCAGCATACTGGTAAATATTTCATTACTACTCTCAAGGCTTTGTCCTAAGGTTCGGAAAACAGCAGTCAAACATTATTTGTCAGACAATATGGTCAATAACACACAGTACATTTCTCTGGGCACATGCACAGTCAAGCAGTGCATTTAACATGATCGCTAATTCATTTTTGCCCCAAACACTGTTGCTTATAGCGCAGTGCATCACAACGTGTCATTCTTATCAACCAGAGGAAATTACTCCTGAATATCTACTAATCATGTTATCACTAAATGGGAATTGGAGTCTTACATACAGGACCTGCTGGTAGCTATGGAAACCAATTGCGTACTCCAGGGCAGAAACAGATGGATTTCTCCATACTTGGCATCTCCCACGAGCCTATATTTATAGGACTAATTGGAAAGTTGAAGCCATCTCTGCATTTGATGGGGGATCCTGTAGATGGAGAAGCTCTTCTACAGCTGCCTCCCATCCTCCCCATGTGTCCTCTCTGCCTCTAAGGTCAGGGAGACTGTAGAAAGTAGACCACGGCTGTATGGAGATGTTCTTATGTGAACAGCTTAATTTTGAAGTCCTTTCCTTTAACTGATTTAGTCCCAGTACATAAAAGTGTCTGGTACTGTTTTTACTAGCTAGTAGTGCACGAGAAGCATGCTGGAATTCATTAGCGTGTCCATGTAGCACTGCTACCAGGGGCTTAGCCCCATCTCACTCATGGGGTGTGATAATCAACAGCTGGACACCAAAGCTCAGTTAATTCACGAAGAAAACAGGAGCCTACTACTGTAGTAACAAAAGCCTCACTGTGCACTGTAAGAGCCAAGAATAAATCACACCACTGTCTGCTTGTTATAAATATATAATCATCAACACCAGTTTGATGCAAGCCAGGAAGAGCGAATGCCACTGCTGGCAACCCTTATCTTTTATTGAGGTCTTTGTGGAGTGATCAGTGGGTAATCCACTATAATCCAAGATCTAACCTTGTTAGACCCATTGATTCACTGTCTTCTTAGAAAAGCTCGTACTGCAGGTGTAAAGAGCAAAAAGGAAAGTGAAATGCATTAGGCTTCTCAGCACACAGTCACAGAAATAGGGATGATTAATGCCATCTGTGTACACAGGATGCTTTTGACCAAGTATTAGTGATAGTCTGAGAATTAACACAAGGAAAAGTTAGGAGCTGGTCGGGATATGACATTTTAATAAAACCGCTAAGCAGTACTGGTTAATACTGAAAGCATGAAAGGCTGAGCTGAAATAGTCAATGAGCACTAAAAACATGCCTGCGCACACATACAGTTATGATACAGAGTAGGTAATAAATTCAAGCCACTCTGGAAATCGTCACAATTTTTAATCAGGCATAAATGTAAACCTAAACACTGAGAGGTACTGATGGTATGCACGTGTCCTAACAGAGCCCCGAGTCAAACGTCAACTCCACCAGCACATTTTCAAACTAGAATAATGGGATTTAGTTTGAACCAGTCTGTCAAGAGGACAACACGGACGTCTCTGCAGCTTCAAGAGAAACACAAATGGAAAGACAGGAGGGAGAAACCTGCCAGGATCCACTCAGGAGCCTTACCATTGTTGAGCGTGCCTGTGACGAGTCTGTACAGGTACTGTGCAAACTTGAAGATCTCCCACTTGCACCTCTTCCTGCAGCTCATCTTTGCTCCTCAGGTAAGGGGGCTTGAAAAGGTCAGCACAAAAAGAGGACTCTGACTTCAGGGTAAAAAAAAAAAAAAATCCAGTGCCAACTTTTACTTTGACCAAGATCCAAAACAGGGCGAGTGTCCTCCTCTCTCGTGCACTCCTCTGGCTGTGTCAGTGTGGCCCTGGTGTCCAAGTGTGGTGGGAGTGATGATCATGAGTGACTGGAGAACAGTGAGGGGTGCTCGTCTCGCATGTGTATCTATCCAGGCTCCTCTGCCGAGCGGCTCCAGAGTACGGCTGTTTGATCACCACAGGGATGTTGCGTGCTCTTTTGTCAGAGCACTAATATTTGCTTACCAACCGGTGTAGCTCCTGAGGGGGCTTCTTTCAGTCTCTCCTTTCTGCAGCACTCACTCCTTTTCAGACTTTTCCTCCAACTCCTCTGACAAACACTCACCTACTCTTCTTCTGTGTTACTACAGACTACTCACACTACAACAGCGGTTTTTCCAGTGCGTCTCTCCCTCGCTGTCTCTCTCAGACACAGACACACTCCCACACTTGATCTCGTAGTGAGCCTGCTGCTCACTCTACTCAGCACCATCTGTGGATGTTTTATCCTCGCTGACGATTGCCACGGAGGTGTGGCCTGATTGGTCCGAGAAGAGGAGGAGAAGAAGAAGAGCGATACAAGAGGAGGAGGAGGAGAAGAAGAAGAACAGCGATATGAGGCACATGAGGAGAAGTAAAGGAGAATTAAGGGGAAAGTGCCCACCTCAATGAATCAGCAATGACAGTACATTACAGGCCTGGTGCATGATGTGCAACTGCACGTTAAAACAATGAGTGACAGTAATGGACTGTGTTAATGGTACACCATGGTCTCTTGAGATGGTTAAGGGAGGGACAAACACACGGAAATAACATGTCAAGAGACAGGAGGAGCGTAGAGAGGAAAGCTGTGGAGCCCAGGCCGTTGTGATTTCCTCCAACAAAATGTCAAGGTGAGAATTAATGATGACAGATGCATCATCTTCTCCACTAATTAGCCCACAATGTACCTCAACTGCACTCATCTATCAATGCCAAGGTCTGCCATCTGAAAACGCTGTCATTAACTCAAACCTTTAACCACTTCCAGGTCTATCACTGCAAGGGATTTGCTTAAGAAAACACTGACAGGCGTATTTTGTTCACTATTACATGTCTGTCAGGTGTAGGTATAAATAAGTGTGGGTTTAAATCTACTCTGAAATGGGGTTGAGATGCTACAGGTCAGTTGCCAGACAGGTCTATTTTGGCAAATCCTGCTCCGTGTAGTATATGCAGACTGACCTTGAGTTCTTGCCTGCATGTTTTGCGTGCACACACATACATACACCCCAGACAGAGTAGAGAGGTGACTGTGGAATTAAAAAAAAAGTGTTTGCAAAAAATAAAGATTTCAAGGACTTGAGGTATTGTGTGAAACTTCTTTGTGGGTCAGAGCAGCACAGGGAACTAGTACAAAGTCTTAATAGGGTGAATAATTTACAAGGCACCTGTAGCAGCGCCTTAGTGACTTGCCTTAACACACTTTGGCAGGGGACATGATGGCGTAAATTAAAGGAACAAGCCCTTTCAAAATAGTTTTAAGTCATTATTTGTTTAAACATATGTTTTCTAACCGACTGGTCATCAAGTCCTGCTCCTCTTACTTACTGCTGCTATGCCTGTTAAGTTTTCTGCTCTGTCCAATGAAAACAGTCCAAACTCTTGGCAATCTTTGGGAAAATAGCTCCATGATTTAATACAGTGGGAGACAAAACCAGTCACATCAGTCACAGCCAGCGATGATTAGTTTCACCAGTTAAAATGACAGCCGTCACCAGCATATTGCAGCTAGATAGTCGTGACTGGCTCCATGAGCTACAGTAGGCGAAGCATTTTGTGTTCAGTTGACTCGATTCAAACTAGGAAACTGTTATAAATTTGTCCTTCATTGCTTCAAATATGATATCATGCTAAAAAGGCCAAAATGACACATTATCCCTTGTATGTTTGGTTTCGAGAAGCCTTTAACAAATACTAAAGATATTTTTGTAAAGCATCTTAAGCCACAGTTACATTTTAGACCATATGGTTGCGACAGCTCCCTGGAACACCAGACAATCAAGATACACATGCAGCCCACAAGAGTGCATTTGTGTCTGTTCCTCTGCATACATGATTGCAGACTTGCATTTAGTCCAGATTTTGCAGTCCCCGCCCGCTCACTGACCCTGTGAGCACACCCAATTTTAACATATGTGCAATTCCATCACTTGACATCTGTTAGCTAGTTTCCATTTCTGTCCATGTTTCTGATAAACAAACACGTCCCTGAAGTGTCTGTAATTTCCACAGAGCAGCTACACTGGAGTATTTTCAGGTCACATGATGCATCATCTAAGTGTCCATGACACAATGAGTTCAATGAGGTTTGTTGCCTTACTATTTCTGAAGTGAACAGATGGCCTGCTGCTCTGCAAATGTTGACAAAACCAACGTCATTTAGGTACAGTGCTTTGCTATTAAACACTGCACATACTCACGGTTCACTCTCAAGGCTTAATGTCATGAACAGTTTGAGCTTCAGAAACACAGATGTTAAGGCAGAAGTCTTGCACTGAAGTGCATACAATTATACAGGTGTACCTAATAAAGTGGCCGATAAGTATATTTCCCCAAAATTTGACCTATCAACATTTACCTCATCATCCACACTTTTTTCCCCAGACTTTGGTGGGAAACATTTACCTCATCATCCACACTTTTTCCCCAGACTTTAATGGGCCATGAGCTTTTCCATGTAGCACCCTGCAGCAGTGTAACATGAAATACACTCCAGTCAGGGAGAAGTCGACAGATATATTGATCCATTTATAAAACACTGCTGCAGTCGCCTGAGGGTGAAAGCCACTGTGTTCAAGCAACTTGATCAGGTGGAAAAATGCTACTAGAGACTTCCTTTGTGAGACATATGCAGGTCAAAAAGCACACACGCATATCTGCCACTAAACACAAGCAGCAAGATTAAAACTAATTTCTATAAAATAACACTTCTGATATTTGCATCACGGGAGACGCAGACATGAAAAATGGAGACAACTAACCTGGTCTACCAATACACAAAACAGTGGAGCTACAAAGGTCTGCCCCTCCAGAACCCGAACATATCCCCAAATGCCAACGTGCCCCAAGACGAGCAATATCTCTGGCACTCGGTAGTGATAAACAATGTGCCATCAGCAGAGTATGAGAACCTCTGGGGGTCCAGAAGTAAAGATAAACAACATGTGGCTGCAAACTATCTATAAAAATGTCTACAATCTGTAGAACTGATGCATCACTGGTGATAAGGCACAAGACATACGTTGAAGAGCAGAACATTATACTTTTAAATGGTTTAACACGATACCTGGAGTTATACTATAAAAGTAACATTTAAATTATGGCTGCACCTTACTATTCTTTTTATTATAGATTATTCTCACAATTATTTTCTGGAATAATTCAATGACTGGTTCATTCTTTGAAGTTTCAGCAGATGAAATGTGTCCAGTGGTCAGCATTCACATTTCCCTCACGTCTGTCATTTCTTTGCATCTTAGTCCCGCAAAAAAAAAAAAAAAGATGTAAGGACAAATTGTAAGGAGAGGAATGAAGGAGAAATGTTTTAACTGACATGAGACATCATTTCCTCTGATCCTTCAAGTGAAGTTCCAATCATCAGCTGATTTCCAATGAAGGGGAGTGTCAATCTGTAATATGCTGCACATAAAGGATGCACTTGTACGTATATCCTCCGTTATAGCTCCTCCAGGCAGCCTCCTCGCTCCTCAGAGCAGAAATAAGAGCTTTGGGACGCACTTCCTCACGGTGGACCAGAACAACTTCTGGGTCGAGCGAGGATTGAGGAGTGATAAAATCAGGGAATTGGGATTGACAACGTCTGATGTCTTGATTTGTCTGACCCATGATCCAGAACCTTAAGAGTTTCACTAAACAATCATAACATACAAAACAAAGTGGATACTTTATTTTTTGTACAGCGACTAATGTACTGCTAGTGGCACTACTTGAAAACATATAAAACCAATTATCATAGTGTTTACTGACAAATTTCCACCTTCGCTCCCTGGGTGAATGTAAAGTGTTTTGCAGTTCGTACCAAGAGAAATGCTGTGTAATCACAAAGGAAAATGTGCATATGAGCAATGATCCAACATTAAAGTCCCAGTATTTACTAAAGAAACATGCAAATAAGCCAAAGCTCATCAACACAAGTCACCACACTGCAACTCAGGACATCATGCAGTACACATTAGTTCTGTTTACTGGTTTTTACAGAAACAAATCCTTAGAGACATCCTGCATAAACATTTCTACAGTCAGAGGAGAAATCAGTGGAAACAGGAGAATTATTGGAGACTCAGGGTGATGATTTCAATTTCAAATACAACAGTTAAGTGTGGGCTCTCAGCCCAGAATTGCTTAGTGAATAGCCTCAAAAATAAGGTGGTAATGTGATGAATCACTGCCAAACACAGCCTACACAGTGACAGAGTCACAGAACACAATAAATGCAAAGCTTGGAAAATGTGAAAATATCCGACTCCCTACTCGTTTCAACAGATGTAATGAAAACCTCCACCAAAAGCTGCAGGATGGAATTGTAAGCACTTTTGCACATCCAACCTTAAAAATAGACAAGCATCTGTACGGATGAACAACCCAAAAACAAACCGCCCCTGGCCATCGCCGGCACAGAGGAATGAAAACGAAACATTCCTGTCCCTAATGATGACAGACAGCCCTGAGAAACAGTGGGTCAGTGCTGCTGTGTCTTCCTCAGCAGATAAAGTTCACATGCTGAGAATCAGTGTGAAGACTGAACTCGTCAAAGCAAAGGGGGGTTTCATTCGAGTCCATCTAACAACCGATACAGGAGCAGTGAGATCAACATTCCTCCTTGTTGTCCTCAACTGACTCAGAGGAACAACAACTTGTCTTCTGGCAGACAGGCATTAACATGATCACAGATTTTTACTTAATCTGCATGTTACTGAGCTTCTTTAACCTCTCAAATATACAATATACATATGTATATAGTATCATTTCTCCCTGAACACTGCTCAGAAATCGCGGGAAAAAATGTCCTTTGTGATTTTATAAAGCCCAGGGTGAGATTCCCAGACTGCTTAATGTCCAGTTAAAAGTCTAAAACCCTAAAATAATCAAAAATACATCAGACCCTCAAAATTAAGAATGTCAAATGAGCACATTTTGATGATTTTTGGTCAAAAATGAATACAGAAGCCAATTTATGTTCTCTCTTTTGATTAATTGTTTTACTGTTATCACAAAAACAGCGAAATGTAAATCATTAAAGAATTAATGGAGCTAAAGTGCCTGGAGGAAAACAAGCACAGCTGAAGCCACTCCATTCATACAGGAAGTTACCACCGAGCTACTCAGCATGTCACAGCACTGCAGTGAAGATACCATAGTGTGAAGTTCTGGGTTGGCTTTGCACATGTGTAGCATGAACTTCACCGGGGACACTTGAAATACAATAAAAGACATCCTAAACACAGTGAAGCTGGTTACGACAAGTAATACGAGGTT